AGACAAACCGGTTTCCTGGAATGGCTCCCCCAGAGGCCTGAGTCATCTCCAGCTGCCGTGCAGTTTTTAATTTTGAAATGAAACCAGTCCTTCCTTCCAGTAGCCAGTTTTCATGCTCTTGATCCTTGAGAACTGGATGTATAGCACACACGAGGAGGGGGAACCACAGAAGCATTTCCCGTTGCACTCTTCCCTGGCCCCTCCTCACTCAAAATGTTTCTCTGCATTTCCCGAGTCTTAGCTTTTGGGAGAACAGCAGGATTGCATTATGCTAGATGCAGCCAGACCCCTTCAAAAGACTAACAATTTGCCTTTGGGAGAGGGTTTGGCAGAACTTTACGTATTTGTCTTATTATTCTTCTCTCCTTTTTCCTTTCCAGATTTTTTAACAACAATTACCTCTTTGCTAAGTAAACTGAAAATATGCTACTCCACAGAAAGCGGTGCCTTTCTTCACAGGATGCTCAAGGCTATAGCCCTGGGGACTGGGCTCCCTCGCTAGTCCTGGCCCAGCTGTCTGTCCGTGGAACACACTGACGGGTGGGAGCACCCAGGAAACGGTCACTTGGCTTTGCTACCAGACCTGTGACCTCAGCCACGAATTCACCATTTCTTCATCTGAAGTGTCAAGGGTGTGGAGAAAGCATCCACCAAGGTGGCAATTTTCTGATTTTTTTAAATATGTTTTATTAATTTTAGAGAAAAAGGGAGGGAGAGGAAGAAAGAAAGACAACGATGGAAGAGAGAAACATCGATGTGCTGCCTCCTGCATGCCTCTACTAGGGATTGAGCCGCACCCCGGGCATGTGCCCTGACTGGGAATCTAACCAGCGACCTTTCAGTGCATGGGATGAAGCTCAACCCACTAAGCCACACCAGGCAGGGCTAATTTCCTGATGTTTTAAATAACCAAATGGAAGTCAAACTTACCAACCAGAGAGAAGGGCCTATGTCTTAGTCATTTTTGTCCCCACCCTGGACCCCTAAGCTCCCCTATGGAGGGCAACAGGGGTTATTAAACATCAATGAATATGAGCACACAGAAGCCAAATAGAGGGTTAGATTTCTTCTCTCTGAGCCAAATTCTGTAACTCGGGACCCACACAGTGGATGTCTCAGGCTAACAACCAACCCTAAGTCTGAGCGTAAGTAATCTATTTTTTATTAACAAACATTTTAAGTGGGACATTCATAATTATAGTTTGTGTGCATTGTTCAAACAAGTTGCCTATCAGGGAGACTAGCAAAGTGCAGGTAATGAGAAATTTGAGTTACTGGATCAGTTCATCTTAACATCGCATCCAGTTCTAAATTTCAAAAATCCTACCCAGATACAGTGAGGCATGAATATGCAAACTTGCTTTGGCTCTGAAACACCTTACTGTTAATTCAAACTTTTCTTAGTAGGTTTGGGAAAACGTTTCCTTAAAAGTTCTTCTTTGGTGAATGCTCTTGTAATGGAATCATCTTAGAGTGAAGAATACCCCATTTCAAGGCACAATTTCACCTCATACCTGAGTTAGAAAAAAAGAAAATCTAAATTTACTTCTACTTCAGATACTGCAGTCACATCTTTTAATTATGTATTGAAACTATCTCTCCGTGGTTCCATAAGTTACCCCCCAGCCCTGTTGAGATATCTACCAACTCTGCAGACCCAGAAACCCCACCCTAAGGACTCCATCACCACTGGGAGGTTTTTCTGGAGCTCTGAGGGTTATACCGCCCTCTAGAGGAAAGAAAGCCAAACTGCACTTTCAAGAACAGTTCTAACTCAAAATTTCATCTCCTTCCCAAAATAGACCTGTGAGACCAGAAGGTATTAAAAGTCATGTTTTCGAGAATTAACATAAGTAATTTCCGAGGGGAAGCCCTCTTTGTAAATCAGGATGGCGTGTGTACTCCCTGAGTGTGATTAGGGGACAATAAGCATCTTTCCTGTGAAGGCAAGGATTATCTCTGGAATTTCTACATCGGAAAGAGAGAAACCATATCTAGAAACATCTCATTCAAAGCTGTCTGAATTAGCAGGAATTTTTCAAGCTTCCTTGCTTTCAAATTTGAAGCACTTAGGGTTTTCATTTGCTTAGCTAGAGCTACTAATAAAAAATGTTTTAAATGTCAGGTCGTGCCTCAAATCGCCCACTATCTCTGTAGGCAGTGGTGTGTTTTAATGCCCACTTTCCACAGCGAAGGCACCATGAGAAGTCTGCTCCACAGGTCACGATGGGAAAGCTGCCTGGGACACAGTCCCCTTTGGGCGGCTGGGGACATCCTAGTCAAAGCCTGATTCTCCTCCAAGAGATAACAAATCCTCAGGTTCCTCCAAAGAGAACAGTGACAGAAACCAGTTTTCAAATAAAACTTTTGGCCAAAGTCATTAGCATGCCTACAAGACAGTCTCACGCTACAGACGTGACGTGCCAGTGAATTTTAAATCCTAAATGTGGAATTTCACATAAAAGTGGGGGTGGCGCACACCTCTGTTAAGGGCCACGCTTTGTCCCATTGTCTGAACACTGAGCGAGAAGACATAAAGCCCCAATGGCAAAAACTATGCCAACTTTCACAGGGGAAGGAGACCTGATCTAAAGCTGGCTTCAGGCGGTGGCGCCTGTGGCCTCCTAACCCAAAACTCAGGTCAAAGGGGGAGCCTCATATGAGCCACAAATTGATCATGGATTGGTTAGAGGGGTTTCTTGCTACTTTATCATCAGTGATGTGTTAGGTTCTAAGCTACAAGATCACAGAAGACATTATGATGGGAGAAAGAGGTACAGTGAATCCTGAACACTTTGGAAATAAAGGGAGGTGCAGAAAACAGACAGCTCCTACCCAGAAAGATACGTTTCTTCTATCAAAAATGTCCTTAAGACCCAAGTTTGAACATTCACCATATCTCTGATCACCTGAGAGCTGCAGGCATGGTGGGGTGGGCCGGGAGAGCCGGGGCCCAGGACTAATATTCCAGAGGCTTCTCCAGCCACCTCCCAAGAAGGTGGGGTGGCCACACCCTCCAGGTCCCGACTGGAAAAGGGCAGGACAGCCACACTCCTCCACCCTGCTATGGCATCCTTTCCCGAGTCCTCCCTCTACCCCACGTCCTCCCAATGGTTTTCTCACCACCGTGAGCAGGCAATGAGACCAGTAAACCCATAATGAAACACCCTCCTCTTAACAAAGAGCATATCCAGACCACGTGACCATTCTTAGATCTTGAATTCCCACAAAAGCCCCTCAGCTCCCCACCCCTATGCCTTCACCCTCAGCAACAAGCCTACACAAGAACGAAGCAAAACGTAGGTCCCATCTTTCTGGGCCCCCGTCCCCCAGAGCTGGCCTGAATGAGGGAAGCCACTCAGGTGATCTGATCACAGAGCCAGTGTCCATCCCTGCGGCCAGCTCACTTGCCCAGCACTTGGTTCTCCATTCATTGGAAGAGCCGTGGGAAGCTTCAACTTCTTTCCCTTTAGTTTTAACAGAAAAGGAGAGGAGGGCATTATCTCCTGGGGGAATGAAGCAGATAACATATTTCCAATCTAGACATAAATTAGCTTGGGGTCCCCCATGGTAGGCCGTCTGCTTTTCTGAAACGGTCATGATTTTTCTGCCTTCTCAGCCACTTACTGGCTGTGTGGCCTCAGCAAGGGATTCAGCATCTCAGAGCACCCCACTCCTTCGAAACCAGGGGACCACGCCCCAGAGGCTCCCACCAAGAACCTCTCCCATTCTCTGTGGCCCAGCAGAGAACCCAGAGGTTTCAATGACGTCCAACAGCCACTGGTTCTCAGTCTAATGCTGGTTACAAACACAAAATACCTGATTTTAAAGCCATCTCTGTTCAAGGTTTCACAATGGGTGGGCCCCTGGGAGACTGGGGGATCCCAGGCAGAGAATAACTATCCACATGCCCTCTGAGCACCCTTGCAGCCCTAAGATCCCACAGCTCTCGAGGTGCTGCCTGGCCTGGGGCACCACCCCTGCACTCAGAACAGTTTCTTCTTGGGGTTCAGAGCAGCCTCTAAGTCTGCTCCTTGGGTGGCTTGGAAGTGCTGATTTTTTTTTTTTTTTTTTGCATTCCCCAATACTCCATGAGGCCCTTCCCAGGGCCCCACCCCCGCCTCACTCCACACTGATTTCCTAACACAGTGAGCCCTTGAAACAGGTCCCCAAAGCAGGCTGGCAACTGTCAGGGAACACTTTCCATCCTGGGCGAGAGGACCGAGCCCCACCCTCCGGCCAGGGAACAGGCCTGGGCCTCCAGCTTGGCACCCGCCCCCCATCTGGGTAGCACAGGCCGGCCCATGGCCCCGGGGGCCCTGCCTTATCCACTGGGCATGCCGCCCAAACACCCAATGCCTTCTCCCCGCCTGACCCTGCAGCTCCTTTGAGCAACCGCAGAGGACAAAGGCTTCACCAGAGGCTCCTGAGAAGATGAAGCCCCGGTGATAAGGGCTGACTCTTGACTTGTCCCTGATCCTGGACTCCAAAGTCTCCAGAGTCCCCCCAGAGGACACAGATGTGCTCCACCAGCCCAGCCCCTGTGAGGACCGGGCAGAACCCCCGCCTGAGGCACCCGGGAGGGCTCAGAGAGGCCTCCCCAAGGAGCAGCCCAGCAGGTAGCGCCTGTGTTCTCCCAAAGAAGACACTCCTGCTAACAAACAGATTCCCACCGAGTTTCAGGAGAAGACCATGGCCAATAAATGCCTCATGAGCCCAGACACACGGCTGCTGGAGGGCACAGGCGGAGACAGAGACCCCAGGGCCCCACAGCCCAGCCCAGGTACCCCCACTGGCAGCCCACGCCTCCACTGAGTTAGAGAAACCCAGTGGCCACAGACCGAGAAAGAAAAATCAGCTGAATCCTCCAGAAACCTGCAACTTATAAAGAAATCGCGACTCTAAGGAGCGACCCTGAGACCACCTGGACATGGTCACCAGCTCCTAAGAGATCCCTTCTTCCCACAGACTCGCGACCACAGAGGGGAGGTGGCACTTACCCTGAGAACCCTGGAGAGGTGATGTCCCTGGGCTTCTGTGCTCAGCTCTGTTGGGCCTGGCGCATGTTCTGCCCACTCCCGGAGGCTCCCGTCCTTTCTGCAGGAGGAGCACTCCCCGCGGTCCCTGCAGGAGGCTGGAGCACAGAGGACTGAGCGCCTTTGGTGGAAGATCGAGCTGCAACTGGCCCGGGTCCAGGGGTACAGTCAGGGCTTCCTCCAGCTCCTCCCCTCCTCCTCCCTTCCCCACCCCTCTCTCCCCCTCCCCCCCCCAGGCCTGCCCCACACTGTAAATGAAAACCAGACTCCCTCTGTTGCTCCTGGCCCACTGCGGGCTGATGTCACCCTCTGAATACCGTCTTCACCCTACAGCGTTCAGCTGGGCTCCTGCAAACCCTGACTCTTGAAAGAGAAATTCACCACTTCGACTGGTCACCTTTTGGGCCCGGCCCCCAGTGGCAAAGAGAATGAATTTTAGAATTTTTTCTTGGGTATCCATGGTTTTCCTGCAATGTTTTCCAACACCATCGGAAAGGAAAACAGGAAATACAGTCGCCCCCTCCACCCTCACCAGGCCCGCCCGCTTCTTCTTGAAGTTTCTGAATTGAGACTTCTCCTAATAACCTCCCCTTTCAAAGAGTACGACCAGCAATGAGAATCACCCGGTTTTCCGGTTTTCTGCTAACCGGAGCTCTGTCTGCCAGTGAAAAGGCAAGAAAAGGAGGCTGCATCTTTGTTTACAGCTCAGTTTATAATGATTCTGATTGTGGGGGTTAGGGCCCCATTCTCCTCTTGCTCAGAGTTTCAAGAAGGTTCTTGAGAAAGAACTCGCGTTTCCACGGGGCTTTGCCCAGTTCACAACACTTGATATACAGCCTTTCTTTTACCTCAAACATCAGCACCCCAAGCCCCTTGCAATGGATGGATACGTGCCATTGTTTGCTTGGTGAGATTATGGTCCCATTTTACAGATGAGCAAAAACCTGGGTTAAGTAGCAGAGCTCAGAATTGAATTCTGGCCTCGGACAGTCCAAACTTTCTCACTGCTCTCCTGTCACGTGACGCCTGTGACAAGTCAGTTAACGTGAAGGATTAAGAGACACCTGAAGGATACTTTGGCTTTGAGATCCCTCCAAAGCCAAGTTTGAGGAGTAAGGACATCGGGAACTTCTTTTCACGGATTATCTCCTTCAAGTCCAGGGAGCAAGGGGAGACAGTACCAGAGAGACCACGCCCACTCCCCCCTGCAGCCCCAGGGTTAGCCCCAGTTCAGCTCAGAGAATGTTGGGCTAAGGGACAGGGATGGACACCTGGATTGTGGTGATTCCCTGCTCGTCATCTGTAGATGAAAAAAAAAATGAGCAGAGACTCTGAGTAGGAACCACACTGCCTGTGTGATGTGAGGAAAGACGACATTTAAAATAACTGAGAGCCCACCCAAGCCAGTGTGGCTCAGTAGATAGAGCATTGGCCTGCAGATTAAGGGTCCTGGGTTCTGTTCCAGTGAAGGGCATGTACCTCGGTTGCAGGCTCCTCCCGGCCCAGGCCCTGGTCAGGACACGTGCAGGAGGCAACCAATCGATGTGTTTCTCTCACATCAATATTTCTCTCTGTCTTTCCCTCTCTCTTCCACTCTCTCTAAAAATCAATGGAAAAATATCCCCAGGTGAGGATTAAAAAATTAAAATAAAATAAAATAACTGAGAGCCCTGGCCGGATACTACGCTGAGTGAAATAAGTCATACAGAGAGCCCTGGCGGTGTCCTGTGCACCAAGACGTTGCTGGTTCGATTCCCAATCAGGGCACATGCCCAGGTTGCGGGCTTGATCGGGTAGGGGGCATGCAGGAGGCAGCCAATCGATGTTTCTCTTTCTGTCTCCCTCTCCCTTCCTCTCTCTCTAAAAATCAATTAAAATATTTTTTTAATAGTGGAGAATATATCTCCCTTGGTATTAGGAGAACAAGATTTAAAGAAGCTGGACTCTAACATTTAACTGTAACTAGTCGTTGATGACGTAGGCCCTCTCCAGCACTGCCCCTGGCGCCAGGAACCTCGGAGGCTGGTGGCAGTGGGTGGCAAGCCTCCAGCACCCTCCCTGGTGCTCACTGAATAGAGCATTTTGGTTGCTATGGTTTTCCCTCTCGTTACTGAGATTTGGGATCCTCACTGGACTGTCCCTTCCTCTCTGCCATCTGGTCCCAGGGGAAGCCATCTCAAATGTCAGCTCGGGGTCTACTTGGCCACCTGGGGACCTCGTCAGCCACCAATCTGTCCCTCAGTCTCCCCCTCGGTGTTGGGTTGAACAGGTCCTGATGCCCCTCTCATTTCCTTCTGCACCATTGGCAAGTTCCACTCCCGTCTCCCAAGCTCCCCGGTGCAGGCCCGGGAAGAGGGGTTGTGGGGGGTCCCTTAGACACACTGCTGGGACTTGGGGAAGGTGACAGAGGTGCTGGCGATTTTTCTGCTACTCTGGCTGGTCTTTTTGCTGCTGGAAAACTCAATGAGAACCCCTCCCAGACCCCCTCCGGGCTGGGAGCACCCACTCTAGTAGCCACTGTGGGTGTCGGCACCTAAGGGCTCACAACGACACCCTTTGGGGAAAATTCCTGTTGGCCATGGGAGCTGCCTCTCCTGGGGACGTTGGGATGAGTGTGGAAGGCAGAATTCTAAGGGAGGCTCCAGCTTTCCCAGTGCTGAGGGGCGTGGAGAGGGGCAGCTGGGCTCAGAACCCAGAGCCCCTTCCCTGGCTCCCGAGGGCTGAAGGGAAGCTGTGAATGGAGCAGCAGCAGCCAGACTCCACACTCCAGCTGAGGACACCACCCCTATCCTGGATCCCCCGCCCCCATCCCCCTGGATTGCAGCCCTGCACACACAGGCTCTCCAGTGCAGCCCCTGGGGAGGCGGGGAGGGCTGGCCTGGAGGGCGCCCACCCCAGAGCCCACGGCCAGGGCCTGCGTCTGCCGTCATGGTCATAGACATCTTGTTGTGAGGCTGGAGGATCATCTTACTGGAGGGGGTTTGTGAGATTCCAAAGCCAGTTTAAAGTGACACGCTCCAAGGAGGCAGCCCTGCTATTTCAAGAGATGGAGTGTGAGGACAACCAAGGAGGAGCCAAGCTTCCCACTGACCCCGCAGCTGCAGGGCAGCTGGGACTCTTCCATCCATCCCTGGGCCCGTTCTCAGCCTCCTAAAGTGGCACAGGGCACAGCGGAAACCAGGCCCTCGTGCCTTCTTGCCGCTAGTGAACCACAGGTCTTGGGCAAATCTGCCTTCTGGGCCCAGTTTCCTCATCGGCAGAACCTGTGGTAGCCGTCACGACAAGGTCAGGACCGGTCCAGCACTGACCCCCGGGGGTCAGGCTGTATCAGTTATATGTGCCTCTGCCTGACCTCCAGCCCCAGGCTGCAGTCTCTGAATGTCCACCCAGCCGAGCCCCAGGGCTGAGGATGGAAGCCTGTGGTGGGCTCGCGGCCCTGCTCTGCGCCTACACGGGGTCCATGCATTCTGCTACGCTCCTTCCACTGGGCTCTCTACTGCTCAAATAATGCTGCTGCAGCAATTTTCTGAGAGTCTGCAGCTCAATGACATTTCCCCTCCAATCGCCAAAGCACGGCCAGCTATGAAGGGAAATACAGTGCCCTTGGGGGACATCTGCTATGGCATTTGTCTAGACGGCACTTCCCTTGGTTTGGGAAAAGCCCTTCCCCTAATTTCATCATGTGCTTCAAAAAGGAGCTGCCAGCTTCCTGCAGAGCCTCCGGCACTACCCCCACTGCTGGATCCGGGGTAGGCATGGGACACTCGTGACGCCGGCCGACCCCTACCCCAACGTCTCCAGCTCGCGCCCACAGCCCGCTGATGTTGGGACTCCCTGATATGACCCCAGGAGCTGCCATATTTGCAGCCACATGAGGGAAACCAGAGGAGAGAAGGTGACCGCCTACCATGGATCCTGCTTCCAGACAGCTAAGACCCAGCCCACCCACAGTCTGGTCCCACCCACCCATCTCAACTCTCCCTTTGATTACACCAGCCAACAATTGTTCTTTTTTTTTACACTAATTTGAATGAGGTTCCCCAGGCTTGCCACCAAAGCAGCCCTGCCTGGTGCCTTTATAACAACTGCTCACGGGGCAGCTGGCCACCTTCGGGCCAGCAGATCGTCAGGCTGTGGCAATAATCACCGCTGCGACTCCATGGTCATTCCCGCTGTTGTGAACATCATCATCTGGATTTTCTTTTATTTTTCTTAAACTATTTTTCTAATCAAACAGACAGGAAGTGAGGTCCTTGTCACTGAGTGGCATGTGAACACAGACTGAAATGGAAACAGAGACATTCAATGGCTTGGCTGAGGCATCCACCAGCGAGATGTGGGGGGGGGGGGGGGGG